TATGACTGTCCCCTGAAAGAAGGGGCTCCCTCTTGAATGGCAGGCCCATGCTAGGGTGCTGGTAATTCAATGGGGTCGTAAAACAAAGGCTTGCAAGATCTTGTGACGAGGGGACTCGGGGCGGGAGGGTGTACTGCAGCATCGCTGGTGTATCTTAGGTTTTTCTAGCCCCCTTCCTCCTCCATCCCGTCCTCGGTACGAGTCGGTTTCGCCTGGGTCGGCCACGCACGGGCGGGAGCCGAAAGGGCGGGTCGGGCGGGCGAGACGCTGACGCGGGCGGGCGGGCTCGCCAGCGAGCGAGCGGACCTTAACAGGAGGGTGGGGCGGGCGGACGGAGGGTGGGACCCTACCGGGAGCGTCTGGCGGGCGGGAACCCATTTATCGGGTCGGGCAGGCTGGACACTCAAGTGGGTGGTCGGGCACCACAGCGAGCGGGGCACTAAAGCGAGCGAGTCGCGAATGAACCCTAACGGTCGGGTCGGTTGACGGGTGGGTCGGGCGGGCGGGATTTTACCAGGCGAAGCCGGCCGTGGGCGAAACCGATTGGGGCGAAACCGACCAGGCGAAACGGACCGGGCGAAACCGACTGCACGAAGTGGACCAGGCGAACCCAGCCGGTGTGAGCCCACTTGGGGCGAAATTGACCGGAGTAAAACGTACCGTGGGCGAAATCGACTTGCCCCTCCTGCTAGGGGTTTGGAGGCTGCCAGGGGAGGAGGAGGAGGAGGAGGAGGAGGAGGAGGAGGAGGAGGAGGAGGAGGAGGAGCTGGAGGAGGAAGAGTGCGGGGGAGCAAGCAGGAGGAGGCAGAGGAGGAGGAATGGGAGGATGAGGAGGAGGGGGAGTAGTAGAAGGAATGATGAGCAAAGGGTGGAGAAGGGGGAGGAGGAGTTGCGCAGACAGGAGGCGGATGAGGAAGGCGTGTAGGAGCATCTGAATGAGGAGCAGCGGGGGCAGGAGGAGCGGAAGAGGAACGGGGGTCGGGTCAGCGGTCAGCGCCGGGGGAACACAGAGAGATTACCATGGTGCACGGGACGGTCAGCACGGGCAGTCTGGTGCGCAGTGTTTTTGTGATGCACTGCGCGCGGGGGAAGATGTCGCAATTGCCATGGCCTTGTGTACTACAGCTCGACTGTGTCTTGCGTCCTTCAGGATGTCCTCTGTCTTTGGCGGCGAGCACACGTTGCAACTATCTTGATTTAAGGCGAATCGGCAGCGCAGAAGATGGGCGGTGGAGCTCCCTATGGGGCCACGAAACGTGCGAGGGGTGTGTGCCGAGATGGATATGCGTGACGCGTGCAGGCGGTGGCACTGGGGCCTTCGGTGGAGCTCCTTATGGGACCACGAAACGTAGGAGTGGTGTGCCGACATGGGTGTGCGTGACGCATGCGGGCGGTTGCACTGGGGCCTTCGGTGGAGGTCCTTGTAGGGTCACGAAACGTGTGAGGGGTGTGCCGACATGGGTGTGCGTGACGCATGCGGGCGGTGGCGCTGGGGCCTTCGGTGGAGCTCCCTATGGGGCCACGAAACGTGTGAGGGGTGTGCCGAAATTGGTGTGCGTGACGCATGCGGGCGGTGGCACTGGGCCCTTCGGTGGAGCTCCCTATGGGGCTACGAAACGACTGAGGGGTGTGCCCAAATGGGTGTGCATGACGCATACGGGCGGTGGCGCTGAGGCTTTCGGTGGATCTCCCTATGGGGTTACGAAAGGTATGCGGGGTGTGCCGAATACGGGCGTGAGACGCATACGGGCGGTGGCACTGCGACCTTCGGTGGAGTTCCGTGTGGGGCCGCGAAGGGCCTTCGGTGGAGTTCCCAGTGGGGCCACGAAACGTGTGAGGGGTGTGCCGGAATGGGTGTGCGTGACGCATGCAGGCGGTGGCATTGCGCCTTTCGGAGGAGCTCCTTGTAGGGTCACGAAACGTGTGCGGGGTGTGCCGACATGGGTGTGCGTGACGCATGCGGCCGGTGGCACTGGGGCCTTCGGTGTAGCTCCTTATAGGGCCCCGAAACGTGTGAGGGGTGTGCCGAAATGGGCGTGCATGACGCATGCGGGCGGTGCAGGGAAGAAGGGAGGAGGAAGGAAGGAAGGAAGGCATGAAGGAGGAATGCGGGGACCGTCTCTTTATTATCCTGGAGAAGGACCCAACCATGTGCAGCTGTGTGTAACGCAGTTGTGGGTATCGTCCTCGGTGAACCTCTCTCTGGGGCCACGACGCGTGTGACAGGTGTGCCAAAATTGGCACGGGTACGCCATGCGGACGCTGCCACTGGAGCAGTCGGTGCAGCCCCATGTGAGGCCACGAAACGTGTGAGGGGTGCGCCGAAATGCAGGGTGGAGCCACGTGCGGGCGCTGTCACTAGGGTCTTGGGAGGCCACGAGACGTGGAAGGGGTGCGCTGAAATGAAGGGTGAAACTGTATTCGGAACCTGCCACTGGGGCCCTGGGTGGAATACTCTATGGGGCCACGAAACGTGTGAGGGGTGCGCCAAAATGCAGGGTGGAACTGCATGCGGACCCTGCCACTGGGGCCGTCGGTGGACCACCTTATGGGGCCACGAAACGTGTGAGGGGTGTGCCGAAATGAAGTGGAACTGCACCCGGACCCTGCCACTGGTGCTTTAGGGTGGAGCACCCTATGTGGCCACGAAACGTGTGAGGGGTGCGCCGACATGGGGTGGAACTGCATGCGGACCCTGCCACTGGGGCCTTGGGTGGAGCACCCTATCGGGCCACGAAACGTGTGAGGGGTGCGCCGAAATGGAGGTGGAACTGCATGCGGACCCTGCCACTGGGGCCGTCGGTGGAGCACCCTATGGGGCCGCGGAACGTGCGAGGGGTGGGTCGAAAAGGGGTGGTGGAACTGCGGACCCTGCCACTGGCGCCTTCGGCAGAGCACCCTATGTGGCCACGAAGCGTATGAGGGTGCGTCGAAATGGGGGTGGAACTGCATGCGGACCCTGCCTCTGAGGCCTTGGGTGGAGCACCCTATCGGGCCACGAAACGTGTGAGGGGTGCGCCGAAAAGGAAGTGGAACTGCATGCAGACCCTGCCACTGGAGCCTTCGGGGGAGCGCCCTATGTGGCCACGAAACGTGTGAGGGGTGCGCGGAAATGGACATGCGGAGGGCAGAGGCAAGGGATGGGAGGCGGGAGGAGGGGGAGGAGCGCGGGAGGTGAGGTGAGGTGAGACGCGGGGCGCTGTCTCTTCAGAACGTGGACCCAACACCACAGGATGGTTTGGAAAAACGAGGACCCAACACCACAGGATGGTTGGGAACTCTTAGAGGGCGCGAGGGCTTCTGAGAAGCCCCGCCGCCTTCTGAGAAGGCCTTCTCCTTCTCACTTCCCCCCCCCTCGCTCGCCGCCGACCAAGTTGGGCCGGAAAGTATCCAGAACTCCATCCTTGAGCGCGTCTGAAGCGGCGCCGAAAGCTTGTGGTGAAGAGCATAGGGCACGAGCCCGGAGGCGGCGATCAATTGCGTCCAGTGACCTGTGCGAGGTTAGCATCGTCCAAGCAAACGTGTTTTGTTGTGCATGTCCAGATTGTAGGCGAAGTTGGGCCCAAGAAGCGTTCTGGTGAGGCCCAAGGGCCGATTTTGGAGGGCCCCGAAGGAGCCGCAATGGAGCAGACATGCGCCCCGACAGCGCTCCGGGATCGGTATGATATTCGAGGTCGTCGTGGGCGCCAATCTGGAGGGTTTCTCGGGCCGTCTCGAAGTTCAGAGCCTCGATCGTCGATTCCGAGGATCGAGGAGGATCGATTCTCGATCCTCGATCGCGGAGCCTCTGCCTCCCCCTCCCCTCCCACCCCCCGCCTCCGCCGCGCCGCCTATCGACCACTGCGGCTTCGGCGTCCTCGGCCCCCTGAGGACGGCCCTGGGACCGCCGCCCGGCAGAGGGAAACAATTAGTGAACACCCGCCCTGCCCCCCAAACTCAAAGTTGGCACGCGCGGGGGAGACTGCGGTCGAGGTGCAACTCATCAGACCCACCGCCAACTTTAAACGTTGGTGGGAGGGGGAGGCGGTCACAGAGGAATGTGGCGTGAGTGTTCGCTGGTCTGGTTCCGAGGCCTGCCGCACCCTCCCCGCTCCTCCTCGTCCTCCGACTGGCCTTGTCCGCCGCGACCCTCGGGGCCGCCCACCACTCTCCGCTCGCCCTGCCCCGGCCCTCGCCGCGAGCTCCCGCGCCCTGGCCCTCGCGCCCGCCCTCTGGCCCGCGCGCCGGCGCGCCCCGCCCTCGGCCGCGGGGCGCCGAGGGCCCCCTCCCGGGGCGGTCCCGGGGCCCCGGGGCCTCGAGGCCTCCTGGCCTTAAGCCGGGCCAGTCCCTCTACAGGAGAGACATGCAAAAATAAATAGAAAGTAGTCCGGGGACGATTTTTTGAGCATTTTTTGGCCAGTTTGGGTGCATTTTCTGTGTATTTTGAATTTTTCGCTCAAAATCCCCCTGTAGGGAGACAGGCCCGACTTAATCCTGGCCCCAGGGGGGGGGGGGGCGCGACATTTGGGCTTCTCCCTCGTGGGCCTCCTGGGGCTTCCGACTGTGGCCTCCGGGATCAGCCGGGGGCCACTGGGTCGGCCTCCGTTTCGATGGTCTCGGCGAGGACGCCCAGGTGTCGAGTGCAGCGCCGCCCCGGCAAAGACACCCGCGAAGTCCGAACCGAACCGAGTCTTCTACTCCCGTGGACTCGCTCCACCACGGCCCGTGGCACCACCCCCATGGACAGCTCCACCACGGCAAACGGCATCAGGTTTCGACCATGCCATTGATTTTCAGGATATGGTCCGTTGTCGTCTAACTACGGGGTTTCTGGCAGCACGGGCTTCCCGCAAGCTGGCCCACTGTCTCCAGTATTTCGCCGATGACCGCCTCATTCCTAAAGCTTGGTAATCCTCGCCCGCCCTCGTTCCTCCTCATTCTCCTTCACGCCGTGCCCCCCCTGGGAACCAGGGCGCTCCCAGCCCGACGGTGGCAGAAGCCGCCCCGCCCCTTGTGCTCAGGAGGCGCCAGAACACCAGAAGGGCATTCACGCGAGAGTCATGGACCCCCGCCCCCGGCTTGCGAGGGCATCGGGGTTGGGGTGGGACTGAACGAGGGAGGAGGAGTGGAGCGGACGAGGAAGAAGTCGGTCGGTCGGTCGAGGAACTCGGGTGACTCAGGCAGCTTAGCTCTGCTGGGGGGGGGCAGGCATCGAAGTTACCCTGCAGCCCAAACGAGGAGGAGGAGGAGGAGGAAGAAGTGTTACATTGTAGCGTTCCGGCTGAGTGAGCAAGATCGGCCAATGTGATTGTATCATTTGTATAGCAGTTGTGTCAAGCCTTGGAGGGAGGCATATTTTGTTAACCTCTGCCTAGGCTTATTTCCGCAATGTTTGGGTCAACATAAATTCGGTTCCACAGGAAAGGCTCCTATCACATGCTCATTACAGCGGAGCCCGTGGTTCGCCCCACGGGTTCCAGTGCGCGCGGCTAACTCCACGGAGCAGCCGCCTCCTTGCGATGGCGCTGCGGCAGCCGCGACGGCCCTGCCGAACCTTGGCACAGCTGACCGAGCCTTTGGCGTGACGTTACCCGAGGGCCGAGAGAAAGAGCTAGTACAATCTGAGCACGAACCGATTCGCGGAGGTGTGCAACGCCGGTTACGAAAACGGATAGTTCAGGTGTGTTACCACCGCCCTCACAGCCAAAAAGGATGATGTTACTCTTCGAGCACAGCGCCACACTAGATACCAGGACAGTCGACGATGATGCGGCATTGCAATGTGAGTGTTTTTCTGATCTCGATCACTAACCGCACCAAGTACTGCGAGGAACAGCTCAACAATCCGAAAACAAACATGGTAGGTCAGAATTCCAACGCCAAGTTTTGTGGCCGTCTTAGGCCGTTTTGTGGCCGTCCTACGCCGTCTGGGAAGTCTCTTGGGCCGTTTTGTGGCCGTTTTAGGCCGTCTGGGAAACCTTTTGGGGGCAGGTTGGGCCGTCATGGGTATCCTGAGGGCCTTTCTGGCCGTCTTCGGACGTCAGAAGCCCGATTTGACGAGAACGCAACAAGTATTGAACAGCGAGTGTAAAATCCATGATTGCGAAGGCCTTACGGCCGGTGTCGCCGACCCTGACATGGGACGACGACGACGACGACGACGACGACGACGACGACGACGACGACGACGACGACGACGACGACGACGACGGCGGCGGCGGCGGCGGCGGTGGCGGTGGCGGCGGCAGCGGCGGTGGCGTCTGCAATGGCGACGGCTAAAAGCCACCAGCAACCAGTTGGAAAATCATTGATTTTACCCTCTTGGGTTTGCCTTTGGAGTGCTCTTGGGGCTCTCTCGGGCCTCTTGGGGGCCTCTTGGGCCGGAGGGTTCTAAAGGTCGGTTGGTGTTCCTCCTCTCGGGGGCCTCTGGGAATCCTCTTGGGGCCCTATTCGGCTGTCTTGGTGGCCTCTTTGGCGGTTTTGGAACCGTTTTGGGATCGTCTTGGGCTGCTTTCGGGCGCTTTCAGCAGCCTCTTGGACCGTCATGGGGCGATGTTGGTTTATCCGTGGCCCGAAAAGGAGAGGACGCGAAAACATAGAACCACTATATGAGCATCGTTGATGTTCGCCTCTTGGGGCCCTCTTTGGGATCTTCTTGGAATCCTTTTGGGGGCTTTGAGGCCGTCTTGAGAGTACCCTGGGCCGTCTTGGCGCGATCTTGGGTTATTTCAGGGCCCTCTTGGAGCAAGCCGCGGTAGAAGTGAGCTCGAGGCGTCTGATCAGCAAGAATCGAAGGGGATTCTCCCCGGAAGGGGTGCTCCCCCGGGGGGGTCGCAACTCCCGGGACCCTGCCCAGGACACCCCCCCGGGACCTTCCTGCGACCCTCGGAACCCCCTCGGGACCTCACCCCCCGCCCCATACCCCCTCCAGCACCCCCCCTAAGGCGCAGGAGGGATCAATGGGAGGGGGCTCTCATCTGACTTACTTAAGACGTTGCTCGATTTCCCTCTGGCTGGAACGTTTGAGGAGCAGGGGCCAGGGACAGGGGCGGCGGCGGCGACGAAGACGACGACGACGACTCAAATTGAAAAGCGTTAACGCGTTAATTGAAAAGCGTTAATTTAACAAGGGAGGGGAGCGGCGACGACGACGATTCAAACGGAAAAGCCACACACACACCGACAGGGTCGGCAGATTTAGTCTCCTGGAGGTTTTCGGATCCCTCCTAGGCCGTCTTGGGGGCCTCTTGGCCCGTTAAGAGGGCATCTTGGGCCGTCGTGGAGTCATCAAGGGCCACCCTTCGACTGAATTACGACCTGGCTCGTTTCACCTCGGGTTGGGGAGCTTGGAGAGACAAAGGTGGCCGCCAGAAAGGGGGCAAACAGTTCGACTCAAAGAGCGTCTCCCGAGGACCGCCCCAGGACGACCCGCCCAGATCCCCCCTCACACACGCCGACGGGGTCGGCAGACTTTCGGCCGCGATTTCGCAACCTAGTTGATTTACAATCTGTGGCATGCCGTTTTCTGTTCGGCCTCCGCGTGCGCGACCTAGGCCGCACCCCATGGCGCACTTCACGAATGGCACAACCCAAGGCGCAACCCATGGCGCAAGCGCAACCCATGGGTCGTGTAATCCACGGTGTAACTTGTGGCGCAACCCATGAAAGGTGCAACCTACGGATCGCACAGCCCATATTGCAGTTCATGGATGGCGCAATTTGTGGCGCAACCCATGGATGGCGCAAGCTACGGATCGTACAACCTAGAGCGACACCCATGGATGGCGGAGCCTCATTGGTGGCACAACCCATGGCGCAACCCATGGGTGGCGCATCTCCATTGAATTTCTTCCGGGCTACGTCCAATTTGCGCTATTCGTATGAGCTTGCGGTGGGGTCCAGCCCAAGCGGCGAGGTGTCTTGTGATTTGATGGCCCCAGAGGCGACAGCGTTGAAACATTGGCCGTCGCGACTTTGTGTGACGCTGGAGGTCTGGGGAGGAGGTGGAGACCGGTCGTTCCGTCGGTCTCGACCGTCGAGCTCCCTGGGTTCCCAAAGCAATGTCGTGGGTCGTGGTGTCCTTTTGCCGCAGGGGCCCAGGGGCGATGGCAACGCCGCCGCAGCAGAAAATTGGTGAGGTGGAACCCAGACCCCAAACGTCTCGAACAATCAGTTTACGTGTTGTTCTTCGGTTTGGGTTGGGTTCTCTTGGGAGCACTCTCCGGTGCCCCTTGGGGACAGCGCTGGGGCCTCTTGGGGCATCATGGGAGCCTCTTTGGGGCCTCCTGGGAGCCTCTTGGGGCCCCCTTGGGGCTTCGGGCCCTCTTGGGGGCCTCTTGCGTCCTTTTGGGGGTCTCTTGGGGCCCTCCTGGGGGCCTCTTGGGGCCTCCTGGGGGTCTCTGGGCCGAGGACTCGAAATGTCCGTTCGGGTCGCCCTTGTGGGCCCCCTCTTGGAGCCGTCTTGGAGGCCTCTTGGGCCGTCTTGGTGCGATTTTGGGAGCCTGTTGGGCCGTCTTGGAGCATCGAAGCCGAAAAGGCGAGAACACCAAAATCGTTCAGCACTTAAGGCAAATCAATGAGTTTTGCCTCTCGTGGTCCTCTTGGGAGGCCTCTTGGAGGCCGCTTGGGGCGTCTTGGGGGCACCCTGGGCCGTATTGAGGCCGTCTGGGGGAGCCCCTTTGGGGCCCGAGCGAATCGCGCGGCAAGACGCTGGGGGCCCCCAGGGCCACGCGGCGCACCCCCCGAGAGCTGGCCACGTGGGGTCCGGGCCCCCAGGATCGAGGGCGGGGGCCCCAGGGAAGCCGGCAAGGGACCCGAGGACACTCCATCTCGTGCCTCAATCCTCCTCCTCCCCTTCCTCCCCCTCCTCCTCCCCCTCCTCCTCCTCCTCCTCCTCCTCCTCCTCCTCCTCCTCCTCCCCCTCCTCCTCCTCCTCCTCCTCCTCCTCCTCCTTCTCCTCCCCCTCCTCCTCCTCCTCCTCCTCTTCCTCCTCCTCTTGCTCCTCCTTCAAGGGCACGGTGGTGGATCTTGGACGACGAGCAGTCCTGGGAAGAACTCGACAGCTCCGCAGGCCTGCGGGCAGACAATCCAGGACGTCGGAGGTACGGGAAGAGGAGCGGGCGGCATGGCGAGGAGGTGGCTCTGGCTTCCTCTCCTCTGGTAAGTCTTGCTCCCGCCCCAAATCCCGACTCCAGATGTCCCTGGAGGTCCTCGGAGGTCCCTTGAGGCCTCCTGCTGTCGAATGTACGACAAAGGACGGAGAAGGACGACATGGTTATGGGAGTTTGCCTGGGCGTTGAGAAACATGTGAGCGTCACATAGGAGTCCACACTCGTTGGGGAGAACGCGGCTGCTTGTTGCCACGAAGGCTGGACGGATGATGAACGTTTCGGTCATCGATGGAATTGTAGACCGTGTGTGTCCACGAGATCCAGACGCGTTTGACGTGGGAATGTCAGCGAACCTGCTTCGGTACGCAACCGATGCGGCACACGGCACCTCGCACGGCTCCAGATTGGTTGGTGTGGCAGCAAGAGACGGGGGAGGGAGAGGAGGAGGAGGAGGATGACCAGTGTAAACCCAAGAGTCATCAACAATGTTGGAATAAACCCTCCCTCCAAACTCCCTCTTCATATGCCCCATACAAGGGTTCATTTTCACTGAGGGAACTGCCTCGTTGGAAGACAACCGCTTACATACATTGAAGCATGCCAAAACATTAGTCTGGGCATTCCAAACGCCACGGATCAATTTGATTATTGCGTCTCGACGCTCCTGAATCGTGCCAGCACGCCATTCTGGGGTTTTCAACAACTCCGCGAATCATCGTAACTGTTGCTCCCTCGTAATCATGAATATTTCCAAATCGCCTTTTCTGTTACGTTGACCAGGGGACAACGTGCAACTCTTTGCAAGTGCTAAACGGAATGTGCGCGGCGCTGAGGCGAGAGCCACATTTTGAAGACGACCCGCTCTCAATCCGTGGAACCCTTGCAAATATTCAACATGAACGCGCGCGGCGCTCAGGCGAGAGCCACATCTTGAGAACCAATCTCCATCCGTGAAACCCCTGCAAAGTTTCAAAACTACTGCGCGCGGCGTTTAGGCGAGAGCCACATTTTGAAAACCACCCGCCCTTCATCTGTGACACTGTTGCCAAGATAAAAGCTTCCGTGGTGAGGGAGTCTCAGGCGAATTGCCCCGCCCGCCCTTTCGACCAGCCTCGGGGTGCGACAGGGAGAAGTTTTTTCTAAAGGAACAGGAATGGAGGAGGACAAGGTAGGAAGTTGGAAGGGAAGGATGTGCGAAGTGTTGGCCTTGGAGCCACCTCCAACCAGCTTGTTTAATGCCAAAGGAAGCGGGGCCGCGCCCCGGACAGCCGCGCTCCTCCCAAAGACGGCCGACGCGGGCGCGCGGCGCGCGCCCTCCGCCCAGAGATCCCAGCGTCCCTCGACGGCGATGGCGGCAGCGGCGGGCGACGACGGCGACGGCGGCGACGGCGGCGGGCGGTGGCGACGACGGCGGGCGACGATGACGACGACGAGCACGCGACGGCGGAGGGTGGGGGCGGCGGCGATGGGCGACGCGAGTGGCGAGCACGACGCGCGACGGCCACGGACACGGCGACGGCCACGGCGACGACGACGGGCGGCGAGCGGCGGGCGGCGACGTGCGGCGGTGGGGCCTCGGTGCGCCGCCGGCCGCGCCCAGGCGGAGCTGCTCGGCGGCGAGCAGGACGCGCCGCCGGTGCTCGTGCGCGCTGCCACTGTCGCCGTCGTCGCGGTCGTCGACGTCCGTCGAGCTCGTAGCGGCGGTGGTGGTCGTGCTCATCCTCTCTCCTTTTTGCTTTCTCCTCGTCCTTGCCTGCTCCTCCTCTCTTTTCGTTCTCCCTTCTCCTCCCTCCCTCCTCGTCCTCATATCTCCTCCCTTCTCCTCCTCTCCCGTTCCTCCCTCTCCTTCCTCCTCTCCCTCCCCGCGGTCAGTCCCTGGGCCACCTCGCCTCGTAGCCGCTCTTCAACACAATTTGCCCAGCTGGTCGTGATGCTGGTTGGTCTTCTGCTGCTCTGGAGGGTCATGCCGATCCTGCAGATGTTGCTGTTCTTCTGGGCCCACATATGGGCAAGGGGAAGGACATCGGCAAGGCACCGCTCGTTCTTGTACAACGGCTTCCTGAAAACCATGCTCGTGGTTTCGATGCTGATCAATTCGCTCCGTTTCTGGGCTCTGTCTGGGCAAGGTCAAAGGCGAGACTGATCAAGGACGCGGACCTTCAACACGCTTCCCCTGCTGGTGGTTCAGGGCCTACTCGTGGCGTATGGCCGCGTGTCATACATCTTCGTGGAGGTCGGCACGAAGGGTGTGCCGCTTTGCGTGCCGTCAGCCGCGACGGCGCCGTGGACACCACCGTCGAGGCGGATACGGGCCAGCGTTACCCGCGCGGGGCGCCCCGGCGCATGGTGGAGTTTGCACGAGAGCCGCCCGCCGACACGGCAAGGCGGCCTCGCGGCCCCTGTGCGGCTTCGCCCGAGAGCAGGCCGCGCTGCTGTTGGCGAGCGACGACGCCGCGGCCGAGGCCTTGGCTGGGCAGCTGGTAAGCCGCGCCCTGGTGGAAGCTGGCTCCCGCAGCCCCAGGGCTTTAGAGGTGGCTTGGCCCCTGTCGGCAGCTCGCGCTGTCCCACTTGGGCGTTTCCGCCGTTGCGGCTCACCTCCCGCTTTTGCCTCCCCGCCCCAGGCCCGTGCCTGTGCTGCCTGGCACGCGCACCGCCCTCTTCCCGGCGTCCCCATCCCGGTGCCCCCCCCCCGACGGCACCGCGTAACGGCCCGTCCTTCTCCCCGCCTTCGCCTTGTAGGAGCCCCGCCCGTGCGTCATTGCATTGGGTTCCGCCAAGTGCCAGGCTGTGATGCCCTGCGCCAGCCTTGGGATGGCGCACGCACTCTGCCCCTTGCCTCTCGCCCAGCGAGCCACGCGTTGTGGCGTTTCCTGCAGGAGTCTGCTCCCGCAGCCCCAGCGCTTTACAGGTAGTCTCGCCCCTGTCCGCAGCTGTCGCTACCCCTTTTGGGGGTCACCGCCGTTGCGGCTCACCTCCCGTTTTTGCCCCTCCGCCCCGTGTTCTTGCCCGTGCTTCTGGCTTCTGGCACGCGGCACGGCCCTCTCTGAGCGTGCGGGGTGCCACTATATTTCCCTGCCCCCTGGTGGTCGCCTTCCTCGGCACCCCCACACACGACCCCCGACGGGCCAGTCCCTCTCCTTCCCCTCGAGGGAGCCCCGCCCGTGCATCACTTGCACTGGGCTTCGCCAAGTCCCAAGCTGTGCACCAGCTTCGGGATGGCGTCCGCTTCCCCACCGTCTGCCCCCTGCACCGCGCCCACGCGGCTTGCAGCCCAGCCGCGCAGTCGCGCTTCGCCACTGGCCCGTCCGCCGCTCTCCGCCTTGCATGGGGCAGCACCCGCAGCCGCTGCAGCGCCGGTCGCACTTTGCCATTGGCCCGCCGCCGGCCCCCACGCCGCTGGCTCCTCCCGTTTGGCGCCCCGGTTCTTCGGCCGCCCGCTGTTCCCCTTCCCCCACTTGCCGGGCTTCGCCCACACTGCGGCTGCTGGCCCCGCCCCTGGGTGCATCGTGATGCCGCCCCGCGACAGCTGCCAGAAGCTGCCCTTCAGCCCGGCCGCCCCCGCGCGCTCGCTGCACCCTCGCTGCGAGAGTACCCTCGCGCCCGGTTCCCCCTCCCCGCGGCCGCCTCCCTCGCCTCTTCCCCTGCTCCTGGAGACGTTTGTTTATCCACCCAAGGGGTAACACGTGTTATCCCCTCCTGCCCCCCCTCGCAGCAGCAACGCCCGGCCCAGTCCAGCGCGAGATCCCGGGCAGCCTAGGGACTGTGGTGCACGCGGGCACTACTAGTGCCGCGGTGCACGCAGGCGTACACAATGGTGTACGCAAGCGCTGCGGTGCACACGGGCGTTGTGGCGCATACATCTGTCATTGCAGCAGCAGTTGTGGTGTACACAAGCATAGTGGGTGTACGCAAGCATTGCGGTGTACACATCGCAAGCCTTGTGTTGTACACAGGCGACGTGAGGTACACAATCGCTGTAGCACGCAAGGTCGCTATGGTGTAAGGTGCGTTGTGGGCTGTCATGTACCCACGCATCGGACGCGGGCATTGTGGTGTACAGAAGCACTGTGGTGCACGCAAGCCTTGTGGTGCACGCAGGCGTTAGGTTTCACATTCGCTGCGGGCTCAAAATGTCCAAGCGTTTCTCGGGTCAGGGAAACCAATTATTTCAATAATATATAATTTGAAATATGAGACATCCGGGCCCCCAGCGATTTCCCGGAGTTTGGCTCCGTCGGGGCCGCAGAGGTGTACACAAGTTCTGTGGTAAACGCAGGAGTTGTGGTGCATGCGGAGGGGTGCTGGAGCAGCAGTTGTGGTGTAAATAATCACAGGCGTTGCAGTGCAGACGGCTGTTGTGGTGTACGCAGGCAGTGCGGTGTATATACGCGTTCGCATGTCGACAAATCAGGGTGCCATCATGGCGAGCATCTCGGCAACGCTCTTGCAAAATGAGCGCGGGCCCCGAGCTGTTGACCCCGTCGTGGGGTTCCTTTTTACTGTTCCTGCACCTTTTGCTGGTGCTGTTGTTCGTCCTGCTTCTCCTGCGGGTAATCCTTCGGCTGACGCCGCTCCGCGCGTCCCCAATCCGCGTGGTGTTCACGTCCGCCGCGGTGCGCGCAATTACCATGACCTGCGCAGTCGGTATGGCGTACACAGGCGTTGTGGGCCCAACGTATCCGAGCGTTCCTTGGGCCAGAAAAGCAAAGATTCACAATCAACTCAGAGATTGAATTTGACACATTCGGGCCCTCAGCGATTTTCCCGAGTTTGTCTCTGCTGGTACCTTCAGGTGCACACAAGACTTGTGGTGTACGCAGGTATTGTGGTGCACAGGGAGTGCTGAAACAGCAGCTGAGGTGCACGCGGCCGCCGTGGTGTGCACACAGCGTGATGTAGAAAAGCGCCGTAGTGCACACGGCTGTCGTGGTGTATTCAGTCGCCGTGGTGCACGCACATACCATTTCTGTAGCAACTTTGACGCACAAAGGCACTGTGGGTTACAGAACACGCGTTGTGTGCACAGGCACCGTGGGCCTGGACGGAGACAACGGCGACGACGACGACGACGACGACGACGACGGCGACGACGGCGACGACGACGATGACGACGACGTAGGCGGCGCGCCTCGGGGGGTGCGCGCCGCGGCCCCTGTTACCGTTACCCCCCCTCCGCCCCCCCCCCTAGGGTAACACGTGTTATCCCCCAGGAACTCAAACATGATTTTCAGCATGCGGGTTAACTCACGGTTCCGAGCCCCGGTCTCGCCCAGACCCGCGTGCTGATTTTTTGTTGCCGCGTTGCGACGTTAAAAGCGCGTGGCGCCAAGGCGACAGCCAAATCTTGAAAATCACCCGCCCCCGTTTTTGGAAATTGCGCAAGCACTTTTGCGACGAATGTGCGCGGTGTCCAGGCGAGAGCCACACTTGGAAAAGGAACCACACTCGATCCGTGGAGCTGCTGCGACATGTTTAGACGAATGTGAGCAGCGCCAGGGCGAAAGCTGCATTGAGAAAACCACGCGCCCTCCATCCGTGAAGCTGTTGCATCTTTCAAGCTTCCAAGGCCATAACTTGTTGGAACATTTCAGGCGAAACACCAGGTCACCCCTACCGACACGTCCGAGAATCGATTTCGAAGCAACGCGCACCAATCTGACGAGACCTTCCGAGGCCTTTGTCCTTTTCGACTTCAAGGCGGCGTTCCGTAGCGAGGATCACGATTACCTCTTGACGGTCTTGACGCACATTGGGGTCGTCGGGCATTGCTTAATCTGATTCGTGCCTTTCATGATGGCATGCGCCGCCGACTCATTTGCAAAGGTGGGGACGTCGAGGGTTTCGACATCCACGCAGGTATCTGGCAGGGGTGCCCAGTATCCCCCCTCTTGTTTCCTGTCGGTTGACGTCCTCCTGCAGCGCCTGGTGAAGGAGTTTCGCGACGCCTCTTTAAGAGCGCTTGCGGACGACATCGGTGTTGCCGTGCAGGATGTCTTGAAACACGCGGACGTGCTGGAATGCATTTTCTCTGAATTCGCGTCGGCTTCTGGATTGCAGCTGAACTCGCCGAAAATGATTCCCATCCCATTATGGGAGGTATCGTCTGGCGCCCAGGCCGAGGAATCAATATCTGGACTGGCTGACTTCTGGGGAGGGGTCGCCGCCCAGGACTCGAGCACGTATCTGGGCTTCCTCGGACGGCAGGTAAACATGGAGGCATCATCTGCACGCAGCTGGGCAGCTGGTTGCCCCAGCGCCTCCCAGCGCCAGTGGAGGCCATGCATCGAGGAAAGTGCCCGAAACTAGCTGCATGCGGCAGATGTCTTAGCCCACCCTTTCCCAACCCTCTGCTCTCGTCCTCACCGAGGTACGGTAGGCTCACGTCGCGATGACATGGGCGTCGGCTTCTGACGCATTGGGCGAGGGAGAGCCAGGGAGTGCATCGATGTATCCACGCCCCCTTGTCATCACACCCCCGCTTGAACGCCCGAGGCTAGCGACAGGGATGAGGAGGGCGACGGGGGAGGAGGGCCTCGTGGAGCGTGCACCCCCCGCGCTGCGGCCCGCCGGGGAGGACCGCGCCGACGACGCCGCGGAGGCCGCGCGCGCGCGCTCGGGGCGCGACGCAGGGGCGGAGGGCGGCGGGGTCCTCGGTGGCGGGAGCCTGGAGCGTCCTCCTCCTAGTCTCGGGCCGGACGAAAGGGGGGGATTGGGAAAGGGGGGGCCGGACGTGAGCTAGTTCTCAAACCCCACGTTTGCTACCCCCTCTTCCGCCTGGCCCGATAGTCTGTGGCAGTGAGGAGCTTGGCAGTGCCCCCCAGCCGCAGCGGGGGCGCTCGGCGCGCCAGGTGCGGAGCCGAAGGAGTGCGCGCGGGCGGCGGACGCGCAGAAGGGGGGGGGAGGGGGGGAAGGCGTCTTGGAATCACCCCTGCCTCTAAGGCTCTGAGGAGCCTTCCCCCCCCCCTACCCCCCTTGTGCGCGCCGCCAGAGAGGGCGGAATGGGTCTTCGGCAGCAGCTTATGGAAGCCTTTTATGTTCTCGGAGTTCTGGCTTTCAGAGTGCATTAGCGTGCGCTTGCGTCTCAGGATCGATGAGAAAGTGCCGATGCAGCCTCGATATATATATATATATATATAGCGTCGATTTAGCGTCGACTAGCATCGGTCAGTGTCGATTCGCATGAGCCAGCAGGATGACATGGGAGGCTCCCATGAGTTGCCACAGAAAGCAGAGGGCGGAGGGGTCCTCTCGTGAGGTCCGGGCGGCAAGCAGAGATGGCGATTGCTGTGTTCGCTAAGGTCAAGGCCCCGAGGCTTTCACGGAGCGATCTGGTTCGGGGGGGATGCTGCAGAACAGGTGGGGGCGAGGGCTCCCGTCGTGAGCCTCCCCGCCCCGCGGCCGCCCTGCGTTGCGAAGGCGGCAGCCGAGGAGGACGACAACGGCGAGGACGCCGTCGGCGCCACCGCTGGCACGAACGGAGGAGGAGGGAACAGGGGGCGGATGGAGGAGGAGGACGAGGAAGAGGAGGAGGATGGCGGAGGCGGAAGTGAGAGAGAGGGGTAGAAGGGAGGAGGAGGGGGAAGGAGGACGAGGAAGAAGGAAGAACATGTGTGCACGGTCTCCGCTGTCACATTCTTGACAGCTTCTCCCATCCACAAAGTTGGGTATAATTAGTGTAGATGCGTCCCGTGCATGCTGACTCCCGACTGTGGTGTTTGTCGCGTGGCCAGGTTAGGAACAAGTGTGTGCGTGGGGCGCGCGCGCGTGTGTATGTTTGTGTGTTGCGCCGGAGCAGTCGCCATCTGCCCAGCCGCCGACGCAAAAAGTGTGTGCGTCGTGTGTGTGTGTGTTTGTGTGCGTGTGTGTGCGCGTGCATCTTCTCCGCCCTGTCGCCGCGCGCATGGCCGCGATGCCAACAAGTTTGTGTGTGTGTGTCTGTGTGTGTGCCTGTGTGTGGTGTGTCTGTGTGTGGTGTGTGTGTGGTGTGTGTGTGTGTGAACCCATCGCGGCCCCACGCGTTGCGACGGCGACGGCGATGATGGCGACGGCGACGGCGATGACAGCGACGGCGACTGCGGTGACGGCGATGGCGACGACGAGGTTTCGCCCCGTTGTGAGGCTTCGATTCGTCCGTCTGCCTCGGCTTCAGAGGTGTCTCTTTCCCTCCTCCTGCTTCTCGTCCTTCCTCTCCTCCTCCTCCTCCCCTCCTCTCGCCTCCTCCTCCCCTCCTCCTCCTCCTCCCGTCCTCCCCACCTCCTCCTCCCTCCTCCTCTCCCCTCCTTCTCTCTCCTCCTCCTCTCCTCCTCCTCCTCCTCCTCCCCCTCCTCCTCCTCCTCCTCTCCCTCCTCCTCCTCCTCCTCATCATCCTCTCCTCTCTCCTCTTTGAAGCGACTTCCGCAGGTCCGAGCGGCAGGGCGCAATCCAAAACTGAACAGCTGAAAAACAGTTTACGTACGCACATCACTGCCAGAGGCCCGCGGTCGGCCCCCGCCCCCGCGCGCCCCCGCGCTCGCGAGCGACCGCGCGCGTGACCGCGCACGCGCGCGGGCACGCCGCTGGGCGGAGGCGACGACCTGGAAGACATCAGGCGCCGTGCGCTCGGAGGACGAGGCGGCTGGCTTGCGTCGTCGTCGTCGTCGTCTTGCGTTGGCGGCGGCAGCGTCGGCGACTGCGTCGTTGCCGTCGGCGTCGGAGGTGCAGGAAGAGTGCCAGGAGGAGGAGGAGGTGGAGGAGGAGGACGAGGAGGAGGAGGAGGAGGAGGAGGAGGACGAGGAGGAGGAGGAGGAGGAAGGAGGGGGAAGGTACCATCTACTGGAGTATCCAAGTATGTGAAAGCCCTGCGGGGCTCTGACAGCCCCGCCGCGAGCCGCCTCCACCCCGAAAAGCCCCGTGGGCCAACGCAGCTGGGGTCGGCGGGCTGGCGCCCTGCAGGAATGCGTCTTTGCACGCACGGGCCTCCCTCACCCGAAATCACCCCGAGGGCCTGGGCGGGCCGGGCAGGCGCGGCCGGCGTTGCGCTCGGGCCTGCCCTCGCGCTGGGCGAACGAGGCGGCCTGCCCTCGCGCTGGGCGAACCCCGTCCCCCCGAAGGTGGGACAGGGCGCCGTGGCGGCGCGCGCGGGCCGGGCAGGCCAGGAAAGGCTCGGTTTTCGCAGGTTCGTTGGGGGAGGGGGAGGGAAGGAGGAGGAGGAGGAGGAGGAGGAAGAGGAGGAGGAGGAGGAGGAGGATGAGGAGGAGAAGGAGGAGGAGGAGGAGGAGGGAGAGGAGGAGGGAGAGGAGGAGGGAGAGGAGGGAAGGAAGGAGGGAAGGAAGGAAAGGGGGCAGGAAAGGGGGAAGGAAAGGAGGAGGGGGAGGTAGAGGAAGTCCCTGGGCCCCGCGCCGCTGCGCTGGGCCCCGGGGCGGGGGTGCTGGCCTCAGCACGCGGCCGCGGTCGGTTGCCCGCGTACTACGTCTGCAACAACTTCGGGGTGTTCAAGTTCATCTACCCGCGGGTGATCAGTTGCACCATCACCCACCAGTGTGTGAACATCCGCGAGGACGAGATTGACTGCGAGGGCCACGAGAACAGATTCAAGAACCCTCGGCAAAGCCACGAGGTCCACCTGGCTACTAGGGCAACAACCTGCGCTCCGAGGGCGACGAGCGGAGGTACAGCAGAGCTACCAGGGCCACCCGCGGCCCCTCGAGGGCCACAAGATGAGCTACGAAGACCACGCGCACAGCTACGTGAGCCACCGGAAGAGCTTCGAGGTCAACTTGCCGAGCTACGAGAGCTACACGCAGAGGCACGAGAACCACAAGCTGAGCTACGAAAGCCACAGGCGGGACTACGAGGACCACCAGTTGAACCATTAGGACCATCTGCTGCGCTACGAGCGCCACCGGCTGAGCTAACTACGAGGACCACCAGTTGAGCTACCAGATGCACCAGCTGTGCTACATGAACAACAAACAATACCTACTACGGCCACCAGCTGAAGCACCAGGGCCACCAGCGGCGAGGAATTCAGGCACAGTTGCTACGGCCACTTGAAGAGCGATCGCGGCCCAAGCTGGGCTACGAGACCCAGAGGCACAGCTACGAGAACCACCGTCGGAACCACGAGCCACGGCGGCACCCGACGGGCACGATGACGCAGCGGCCGAGCGGGTCGCAGCCGCCGGGCGGGCCGACGAGGATTTTGGGGCCGGCGTGGAGGCCGCAGGGGGGCAATTTGCGCCAATGGCATAAATATTGGCGCAAGATTCCACCGGGCCCGATGTTTCACGGCCAGGACCGCCGGCGCCGCCCGCGCGCTGGCAGGCGAGGGCACTGGCGGCGGGCAGGCTTGTGACATGCCACATGTTGCCGCTGGGGGCGTTGCCCTGGCCGCTGGAGTGCCGCCGCCGCGGCCCTCGCGGCAACCGCCTGAGCTACGAGAGCCGCTAGCAGAACGAGCCCGACTACAAGAGCAAGCCGAAGTACCTGAACACGCCGGATACCGCCACGGAGCGCTGGGCATTCAGTTGGGCATCGGTGGCGATCACCGCTAAGAGTACCAGCGTCGAGCCAATTGAAAAGTACCCCTAAGAAGTGGCTCGCCGTCATGCACCAGGAGACGGTGCGAGCCCACCAAGATCACGATCGCATGGAAAAAACAACGTGTTCGAACGCTTATACGACCTCGCGGCCTCTGAAGGTCAACCAGGGGTGGACACACTACATCGGCGCTCCGAAAGTTTATTCCGATTTGAGAGGCACGGCGCCGCGCGAATGCAGCGCAAACGCTGTGCTGGAAGGGCGCGGCAATGCATGCCCCCTGGACAGGCGAGAGCAGCCGCGCCCCCGTGCGAACCCCGTTCCCGCGCGGGGCGCGTTCCCGTTGACAATGGCTCACCCGGGAAACCGTTTCTTGCGCCAGAAGTCTTGAGCGGTCTGCCCACCGGCGGCTCCTTCGGACGAGGCCCGGAACCATCGAGAAACCGTTTTTGATAGGAAGTTTTAGGCGGTTTGCGCATGTTCGGTTTCTTCGGAGTGGGCCCGAAGACCTCGAGAACGATGTTTCTGTTGCAAAGAATCCTAGGCGGTTTGCACATGTTCGGGCCGTTCGAACCGGACCCGAAATCTTTCTCGGCGCAAGTCCTATGGGATTTGGCCAATTCCAGGTCGGCCGGTACATTTTTCGGGTCGTCGTACGACGGAACCCGAAAGCCTTTGTCGAGGAAGTCCTATGCCGTTTGCGCATTTTCGGGTCAGTACACCGTTTGGGATTTGAAAATCTAAATTGGGAAGGGGAACCCGATCCCGCGACCCCGGGCCGGGGCTAGGCTCTGTCCTTGTATTGTACTGGCACTGGGCCCCTCCGGCAAAGCGACGCGCTGGGCTACTCATCGGCGCGCCGACTCTGCCCTCGCAACATCGCCCCCGTCCGCCCTCGGGCCCCGCGAGTCTTATCCCGCGCGCGCCACCCCATATGGCCGCGGCGAGCACGGTGGCAAAATTGGGGAAACTTTCGGATCGGCGCAGTATTCCTCGACGTGCTCCACGACATAATCTTGTTCGACGTAGTGCGCGATCGGATGGCGCAATAGCTACGGTGAGGCCAACCAACCAGAAGCCGCTGAGTATGGAATTCCAGCATATCATCATCTAGGCATACCGACTGTACTTGCCCTGCAGCGTTCCGGACAAGGGTGTTACGTGTACGCGCCACGTTTACGTAGCCACAGACATGGTATTCCGCGCGCAACGGCGCAGCGAAGGTAGACCGTCTACGGCAAGTACATACGCGACATCCCCTGAATGGTTCAGGTGAGAGGATTGTCATAGAGGGTGGCCTCATTGCCCTCCTCCCCACCTTTGGAGGGGCCCGGCGCGCCCCCCCCCCCCGTCGGCTCGCGCACGGTCCAGGCGCGTGGGGGGCAGGGGCGTTGGAAACCGTGCTGTGAGGCAACCAAGAAAAGAACAAGGTGGAGAAGGAAGAGGAGGAGGAGGAAAGAAAAAATGGACTGAGGAGGAGGAGGAGGAAAAGCTGGAGGAGGAGGAGGATAATGACGAGGCGGAGGACGACTTCTTCAGAGGATCTGGGGAGGAGGAGCAGGGGGAGGAGGAAGCAGGATCTGACGCTGTGGGCGCCGAGGCGCCCCACTTGTTGCCGGAGACAAGGCAGCGGGAGGGAGGACAAGCTGCAGCGCCTCCGCGAACTCGAGGCGCTGCGCGGATGCCGAGCGGGACAGCTCGGCGACCCTGCGGCGATCGCCCACTCCGTTCGTGAGTTCCTTGCAGCGGAGCTTCGCGTCGGGAACGTCGGTTAGGAGGGATGACGAAGAGGAGGGAGGAGGAATGATAGAGGGGGGGGCACGGCGGAAAGCTGCCGCACTTTCTCGTCACCCCACCTCGGGCGCGCGTGGACCAGCGCCGCTGCGAATTCGAAGCGTTGCGCGAAAACCAATATGAGCCCAGACCTCATGGGAAGGGCAAAATCGGGGGAAGGGTCGCCCCCCCTGAACGGAACGAAGATGGTTGGAATAGCGAGTTCGCTAAACCGTCAATGCTTACAGGGCAGATGTTACAGCCGGCCCGGATTAGGAGGTCGACCCTACCAGATCAAGGGTACCTTTGTGTCCTGCGTTTCGCGACCCATGCCTCCAACATTATTATGGCAATGTGGCCCTCGGAAGGGTTTTGCGTTTTTTCGCGTGTCCTGCCCAATCAAGTCCGATGGAATTAAAATCCTGAATCGTGCGCGAACGGTGAGTCCCCAGGCGAAACCCCAACCGACACGCCAAGTGGTGCGACGACGAGGAATATGTTATTTACGACGACGGGGGATGGAACAAAAAGGGGGCGGAGGGAGGGAAGGAGGGAGGGCGGGAGGGAGGGAGGATGGAGGGTGCGGGAGCAGGAGGACAGGAAGGGGAGGGGGAGGATGGAGAGGAGGAGGAGGAGGAGGAGGAGGAGGAAGGGAGCAGGATGCGAGGGAGGGGGAGGAAAAAGAAGGGGAGGTGGAGCGAGTGGGAAGAAAAAATAGAGGAGGAGGAAGCGAGGCTGGGGGAAGCAAACGGAGAGGGAAGCAGGATGGACGGGAGAGGAGGCACGGGGCAGTGGCGAGCAGGCCACCCCCTGAGGGAGGGTCCAGCTGGGGCGCTGGCGCTCTCCCGGCAGAGTGCGCCCACCTCAGGCGGCGACGCCGACACGGTCTTGACGACTGCGGAGGCGGCGGGCCGCAATTCGGAGGGCGCCGTGAAGGAAGGGAAGAAGGATGATGATGATGATGATGATGATGATGATGATGATGATGATGATGATGATGATGATGATGATGATGATGATGATGATGATGGTGATGATGGTGATGGTGATGATGATGATGATGATGATGATGATGATGATGATGATGATGATGATGATGATGATGATGATGATGATGATGATGATGATGATGATGATGATGATGATGATGATGATGATGATGATGATGATGATGATGATGATGATGATGATGATGATGATGATGATGATGATGATGAGGGCGAGCAGAAGGAAGAAACCAGCTCGGGATGGGCGGAGGGAGAAGGAAGATAATGAGGAGGAAGGAGGACGACGACGACGAGCAGGAGGACTTGGAGCAGGAGGAGGAGGAGGAGGAAGAAGAGGAGGAGGAGGAAGAGGAGAAGGAGGGTTCCCCACCTGGGCCCACTGGGAGTTTGACATGATATAGCCAGAACGGGTATTACGCTGCAGAACGGGATTTCAGATTTGGATCCGATCGGCACATTGTCCGGCGTGCAAGAGAACAAGTAGGAGAAGAGGGTGGCCGCGCGGGGGGAGAGTCAGGGAGGCGCTCAGACGCGGAAGAATTGCGCTGTGAGCGGGCCAGAGCGGCCAGCCAGGGCAGTGGGGTCGCAGCAGCAGCCAGGACCAGGGCCAGGGCGCACCCGCGGGCGTTGCCAGGGCGCAGTAGTGGCGAGCAAGTAGAACCAGTACCGGAGCCCGAGGACTGCCATTAGCAAAATGCTGCACCCACCAGGTGTCTCAACCGTGGCGGTGCCCACCGCCCTCGCGCAGCAGCCGCGCCAGGGGCTGGGCGTAGCTCCAGGGCAGCACCAGGGGTGTGTGCTGGAAGCCGAGGGCGACGCAGCGCGGCGGCGCCACTGCGGCGCGAGGTGGGGGGGTCTGGATCCAGACAGGCATGTGCCCAATCCCTGATCCCTATCCCTGGCCATTGTCGCTGGATGCGCAGATCTGGAGATGGATCTGGACACCTTCTTTGGATGGGGATTCCAGATCCAGATAGGGATTCTAGACCTGGATCAAGTTACAGATATGTCGTATCCCGAATCCTTATCTTAGGTTTTGGATGCCGTCTCGGCACGTCGCACCAGTCTTGGATTGGAGGGCATCTTGAAGCCATTTTGCATGGAAGAGCCCATGTGAAATACCTTTCTAGCCCTTTCTGGGTGGCTGGCAGATTGGGCTGAAGGCCCCCGGAGGTTTCTTTGATGCATCTTGTGGTTTTGGTAGGCCTTTTGGAGGCCTCGGGGCCTGTTGGAGGCCTTCCGTGTACGACACCTTGCGTGACAGGAGGGCAGTTTTACCCCGACAGGTTTAGCACATGCGTTTGAAAGGTTTTCCCTTTGCTAGAGCAAGGCCAGACTCCGTGTTGTCGTATTTGGCTCAAGGCAAACCACGTGCCCGCTGCTGCTGCTGCTGTTGCCACAGTTGGTAGCAGAGCTGGTTGGGTTCGAGGGCATGGGCAGCGGTGCCAGCGCCTGAGAGTGCAGGCATCCGCCGCTTGCGCGCCTCATGCCAAGCCAGCTTCCACCGGCCGGGCGGGGCGTTCCATGGCATGACGGAGGGGGTTGAGTCGGCCCCTAGCGACGACACGGGTTTCACGGCGGTTGTCATCGCGGCGGGAGCGCAGCAGCATGCGCCAGACGCGCCGCCAACAGTTGTCTCGCCTCAGGCTCTCGAGGAGCTCATTACCAGCATAGTTCGGACGGCTATGGCGGCGGGAGGTCAGACCGCTCCTGGTAGACATCCTTGGCAGGCCAGGCTCGAGGCAGCAGCACGACAGCCGCAGGCCACAGCAGCAGCAGGCAGTTCAGCGCAGGAGACCGAGGACCACTCGTGGAAGGACTGGGGCAACTGCGAGAGCGACGAGTGGGACAAGTCCGAGTGGAACTGGACAGGCTGGTGTCAGCAGCAGTGACAAGGCCGCTGGGAGACCTCCGGCCGCGGAGACTACACGGATCCACCGCCGCTCCCGGGGTGATTTTTTATAGACAATGGAGAAAGTCCATAAAGCCTAGAGCGGTGGAACCGCAACACGGACGTTCCTATATGGAGGCGCCCAGAAAATGTTGTACGACTGCTCGACTGGAACATACAGATAATATTCTAGGATTTTCCAGCAAATATGTTGTCTGGTCCAGGATGGCTAGACGCAGTGTTGGCCCGCATGGATCTGGAAGCCGGAGAGCGAGAAGATGATGATCTACGCAGATTTGGTCGCAAGGATTTGTATGAGGGCGTCCGAGGTGCCAAAGAGACGCTCACGCATTTTGCTGGCAGACGAAAGTCTCAGTTTGCAGAACCCATGGCCACCGACATGTGGCTTTCGCCAAAGCTCAAGAGCTCGATGCTCGAATCGGTCGCACAGCCCTCGGCGCAGTCGATGCAAAACCTCATGAAACTGATTCGTGGGAAGCTAGACTACGAGGACGTCGCGTGGGCGCCGAGGTAGATGGACGCGTCGGGCTCCGAGAGACTGATGCCCTGCAGGGCGTCCGCGAGTCTTTTCGCCGGGCCAAACTCGACTTCTGGTGTTGTTCAGTCCTCCTCCTCTCCCTCGCACCCTTCAGGTAGGTTCGGCGAAGGCTGTGACCTGGAGGAGGGTGGCTTCGAGGGCGAGCTCGAGGATTTCGACGACGGGGCTGATGCCGAGGTGCTCCCGGCAGAGCTGGAGGACTCGATCTGCGCGAAGATCAATTGGATGACGCTACGGCAGCCCTCTAGGATGGCAGGCCGAACCAGAAGGTCTGGTGGCAGAAGCAGGAGACGAACATGGCGGCGAAGCGCGACCGCGAGCACTTCGGAGGCCAGGCTCGGTCCGGCGGCAGAGCGCCGCCGCAGCCCGGGCGCTTCCCAGGGCGCGGCCGCGGACGAGGGCACGGTCGCGGGGGCCGCGGGCGCAGCTCAGACTCGATCAGGGGTCGTTTGCCAATCGAAGCACCGATGGAGATCACAAAGTGCATGCTGCGCCATGAAATGGGGCGCCGGGGCCGCGAGTGCCCGAAGCTCGGAGGCAAGAGTCGCGAGAGCAGCGGCTCTGGCAACCTGGCAGGATACACATTTCGTGGTGCCGAGGGCCTCGCCGTCGACGACCAGTTCGCTGCCTGGCGCCGGGCCTTGGAGAGCATTCAAAAAACCGGGGGCACCTCGACCACCCCCCCACTCAGGCGCTGGCGGGTCGGGGGGGGTGGGCAACGACTTCGCGGGCATCGAGGCGCTCGATCGTGGGACTCCGGCGCCGGCACGGCACGGGGCGAAGTTCGAGACCGCCCCGAAGGACCTCCAGCGCCCGCGAGCGGCCCGCGGGGTCGGCGGTCCAGCCACGGCGATCTGCAGCGTCCTGTTTCCCATCTGTCTGGCAGGCGTGCTCGGCGCAGTCGAGACTGCGGTGTTGGAAAACGACGCGCCACGCATCTTCATCGCCAACCTGCTGGATTTCCTAGCTCGCATCGTTGACCTGCCGAAGAATCAGATGTTCTCCAACGCTCTTGAGAGAGGGGCGAGTCTCGCACGGCTGGGCCCGGGCCATCGCACGGCGACGATCGCCCGGGATCTGGGCCCCCCGCTGAGCGTGCCCGACCCGGCTCGACGCCGCTATCCTTTCTTTGGCGATGGAGCCTTCAGGCTCGGAGGCGGATCCCTGCCAGCGCTGCTCGGCAGCGGGGGGGTGCGCGGCTGCGCCATCCTCGTCAGCATTGCCCTCATCATCGCCACTATCTGCATCGCCCCCGCCACGAGCATCACGACAATCAAGTTCGCGATGAACCTCTGGAACAAGAGGGGCCAGACAAGGAATCCCGATCAAAACGATTTGAGCATAGTCTCGGGCACCGGGGTCGAGGCGAAGGCTCGGGGGGTTTCTCGGGGCTTCTCGGAGGCGAGCTTCCTCCGGATTTTTCCGGGTGGTAGCTCAGCGGGTGGCCCGCGGGTCGATCGCGGGCTCGGAAATGTCTCGGGAAGCTAAGGCAGCGCCCCAGCAGATTAACGACGTGGCGGGGCCCAGCGGGTCGACGAGCGCCCCGACCCCATTTCCCGAGGTCTCGTTTCTCTCCGTAGTTCATTTTGGTTCGATCCGCCACGAGCTCAGCGCCCAGACAGACTCCCGAGACAGATCCAGCATCCCACTCGCGAGACAGACGATGGCTTGCCCGGCGTTCCTCTCGGCCACGCTGGGGGCCTTCGCGCGCGCGGCCGCAGCGGCCGGAGGAGGGGGGATGAACCCGCCGAGGTCCCAGGAGGCCACGGAAGAGCACCCCCCGAATCATCATCCCGAGGCGATCCCACCGATCCCCAGGAGGGCAACACCACGTCCGACGTGGCCGAGATCTCAGGGAGCTTCGTATCTTGGTTACAGCTACGACAACGGCATACCCCAGGGACTCCAAGAGGTGGTGGTGGTGTGGTTGGTCTCTCCTCCTCCTCCCCCTCTTCGACTCTTGCTGTGTTTGAGTAGTGCCTCTCTCTCTCTCTCTCTGTTGTTCTTGTCTTTCGCGCTTTTGGGAAGCCAATCCCAAAGACTGTACAACAGTTCTGACGATGTCAGCTACAGCAGCAGGCATCAAGTGTTTCAGGGGTGCTAAGAGTGGAAGAAAGTCAGACCTGTGTGACAGGAGGGCAAGTTTATCCCGACAGGTTTAGCATATGCGTTTAAAAGGTTGTCCTCTTGCTAGAACAAGGCCAGACTCCGTGTTGTCGTGTTTGGCTCAAGGCAGAACCACGTGCCCGTTGATGCTGATGCTGCCGCTGGGAGTCGTTGGGGGTTCCGGCAAATTTATGGCGCGGGCAACACATATCACGCGCCTTGGTGCAGGCGAATTAACGCACGGTGGCGAACACACATACGCAAAATCACAAGCACGTGATATCTGCATATCGAAATCAAAGTATAGCGTGTACACGTTCGCAAACACAAGGAAACGCACATACAAATATGATTCCGTGATGTACGGGTGACGCATGTGTTTGTTGCAAGCGTATGTACACACATATATGTATATATATACAGTAGGTGTTGATGTCTGCGGTGTGTATGTATATATGTAGTATGTGGAGTGATGGTTGATGCTGTTCTGTATACGTGACAAAGATAGAGAGACAGAGAGAGAGAGAGATAACACAAAGAGAGAGAGAGAGAGGGGGAGAGGGGGAGAGGGAGGAATGAAGGAGGTTCCAGAATGCTTCTGGAGCTCCCCGGAGGCACCTGGAGACCCCAGACGCCTTCCAAACACCGAACATGCACAAACCAACGTAATTCTCCCCGTTCCCCATCCCACGCGGGCAAAGAGGTACCTAAGGGAGGTCTGACGATGCTCATGGCAGCTGTGCCGCCAGCGCGCCACAGCGCGACTCGCAGGCGAACGTCTCGAACGTCACCTTCGACTGCGAGGTGGGGAAGGCCGACTTCGTACAAAGCGAGCCCCGCGCCCACTCTGTGTGGGGACGTCGCTGGTGGTGATGGCGGCGGCAGGGTCACGCCATGCACTCTCAGGAGGAGGAGGAGGAGGAGGAGGAAGAGGAGGAGGAGGAGGAGAAGGAGGAGGAAGAGGAGGAGGAGAAGGAGGAGGAAGAGGAGGAGGAGGAGGAGGAAGAGGAAAGGAGGAGGAGGAAATGAGGCGTTGGCACGTGGAGCATCATACTTCCATCACCCCCACCCAGGACTCTGGCGCGCATACTTTGTGCCCCAGCGGTCTACCTTTCTTTTCCTTCGGTTTGTGGCCTGTCTTCCCGCCGCTGCGTGCCGAGGTCCTTTCGCATTTGTGGTTGTCGCTTCGCCTAAGTCGGTTTCTGTTCCCATTTCACCTTGACGCAACAGTTGCACAGCTTAGTCCGATCAACGTAGAAAAGATGAGGAGGAGGGTCCGCACTCCAGTTTTGACAGCCAGAGCGTTGATTTCTGATCCTATGTCACCTGTCCTTGCAGAAGCCATAGGCTTGGATGAAGCAGCCCGGGCTCTGGACTAACTGTTGGCATTTTACGCGCAGCCAGCCGTCGCATTTTACGCGCATATAGGCTGTGGGGGATGAAAAGCGGACAGGGGCAAATCTCTGATGAATCCGCGATCCTACAATATTTCCCAAACATATTTTCACAGCGGAAAGCGCCCAGGCGTGCCATTTGAGCGAGAGCCTTGTTTTGCAAACAGCCGCCCTTTAGCCTTCTGGCTATACGCATTGCCATGCAGTGAGATGACCGGTAAAAGACAGGAACCCAGCACGATGTTCAACCCTATTGTGGCATCTCAAGCGAGATTCCAATGTTGAACAGAAGCCGTCGTCCATCTGTGTAACTTGTTGAAGCTTTTGACCATGTCATACGCCTCACTCTGAGAAAGGGCTGGCCTCCTCCTACTTAACAGCTGGAAGCTTTTAGCCAATGTGTGCGGCGCTAAAGCAGGAGCCCCTGTTGAACACAGACCGCTCTCTATCTTTGTGACTGTTGGAATATCTTAGGACGAATGTGCACGACGCAAAGGAATAAGCTGCATCTTGAGAACCATGTGCCCTCCACCAGTGCAACTGCTGGCACTGCTAAGGCGAAACGGTAAGAACGCGAGCCTCAGAGTGAGACATACATATACGACCACTCGTCGGGCGATGATAACGAGTTTGTGTTGGAGGGGAGCCAACTGATGACACACTTGCGATGATTGTGATGGTGACGATGTTGGTGATGCGCTCGCGAGCTGGTGACGATGCATGATGACGATATTGGTTAGCTGGTCGGCTGGTGTGCATGCTGACAGTGGAGCGGGGCATCGCAACCGGGCAGCACGCAGCAGCATTGGAATGCCATCGGGACACCATCGGGAGAAGCACTGACACCATCTGGACATCATCGGGACAACATGTGGACACCATGAAGACACCATCGCGACACACCATCGGGACACCATCGGAACACCATCGGGACATTATCTGGAAACCAGCGGGACACCATCTGGACAACATCTGGACACCATCGAAATATTATCGGGACACCATCTGGACACCATCGGGACACCACCTCGGGGGCAACATGTGGACACCATCGGGACACCATTGGCACACCATGTGGACACCATGTGGACACCAGCGGGACACCATCGAAACACCATCGGGACACCATCGGGACACCATTGAGGCACCATCGGGACACCATCGGGTCACCATTGGGACACCATCGAGGCACCATCAGGACACCATTTGGATACCATCGTGGCAGGTACGCAATTGGGACGTCAAGTGGACACCATCGAGACCCCATGTGGAAACCATCGGGACACCATCTGAACACCATCGGGACACCATGTGGACACCATCGGGTCACCATGTGGATACCATCTGAACACCATCGGACATCATGTGGGCACCATTGAAGCACCATCGAGACACCATCGGGACAGCATTGCGATCCAACCGTCCATTTTTTGTCTCTCGAGTTCACTATCGACATAACTAACATTCCCACTAACGATTTCACTATCGGGACACCATGTCGACACCGTGAGGACACTATGTGGACACCATGAAGACACCATTGGGACACCATCGGGACACACCATCGGGACACCATCGGAACACCATCGGGACACTATCTGGACACCAGCGGGACACCATCTGGACACCATGTGGACCATCGGAACACCATCGGAACAACCCTGGGCCACCGCCAATCAATGCGGGGGCGAAGCAACGTTTGGCCTGGTGTCGCCCTAGCGACGGCGAGTTCATTCTGCTCGCCCGCCCACACAACTTCGCTTCGCCCGAGTTCACGACACGAACACGAGACCGACACCGATTTCTTTTGTGGGGGTCTCCGTTTCATTTCGATCTCTTTCCCCAAGTTCCGATTCGGAATCCTCCCGTGTAATTGTTGGAAGTTTCAAGCTTCAAGATCATTCAGCGGCGAAGAAGTCCCAGGTCAATCGCGTCAATCGCCCGACTCACCCTCCTGACTGGCTGGTGGTGCGACGAGGCGAAGTTTTTGAGGAAGAGGAGAAGGAGAAGAAGAAGGAGGAGGGGGGAGAGGGGGAGGTGGGAGTGGCAAGCTAGTTGCGCTCGCGTCATATCTGACGTGTTACCCCTCCCTCCCATCCCTTTCCATGGCGTAGATACCTTCTGTATTCGCACAGTCGGATGTTGTAGCATGGCATAGCATTGCATGGCATAACATGGTGTTGAAGATGCCCTAAAGTGGGCATTTCGTGGCATTACATGGCGACAGGGAGGCTTCTGCGGCCCAAAAAGTCAACGAATCGACACCGAATGTGCAATCACGTCCGATGGTTTTTTCTGGGGGCGGGGGGGGCATTTTTGGAATTTTGGGACCTTTTGGAAGGACCAAAAACCATACCGTGCCATGGCACTGGAAATAATGACGCCAGCGTTGCAGCGGGAGCACGATTCGGAACGAGCGGAAGCGCGGAAATGAGGCCAGCGCTGCAGCGGAAGCACGATTCGGAACGAGTGAAAGCGTGGCAATGAGGCCAGCGCTGCAGCGGGAGCACGACTCGGAACGAGCAGAAGCCCGAGATTGAGGCCAGCGCTTCAGCGGGAGCAACATTTTGAACAACAAACTTAGCGCAAACCCAACTCCCAGGAATCCTGTGTGTAAAAGAAAGAGTACGCGGCCAGACATCTTCGTGACGTCTTCAGGGGAGAGAGGAGAGTAGTATTCATATTGTGTAACTGTAGAGGGGCAGGGGGAAGGGAAAGGGAAGGGATAGGGGTGAGGGCTGTCCTAGGAAGTTTTAGATGTGGTTCTGGCGGGTTCAAGGGAGTTCTTACGGTGTTCTAAGGCAGGTGAAGGAGGAGGAGGAGGAGGAGGAGGAGAAGGAGGTGAAGGAGGAGAAGGAGGAGAAGGAGAAGGAGGAGCAGGAGCAGGAGGAGGAGAAAGGGGGCCCAGAGTCCCAGAGACTGACACGGCCCCCTGCGCAGGCATCTCAGCAGACCGCCTGGCCCTCAGGGGCCCGGCTCCCGACCAGAGGCCCGAGGGGCACCACGGCTCGAGCCCTCCGCCGATCCGGGCCTCGAAGGTGGAGCCCCCCGCTCTCCGAGCCGAGGCCTGCCAAGACCCACCACTTGGCTCATGCGGCCCGGCGCCGGCTCCAGGCCTCCGCGAGGCCTTCGGCCTCCGCCCTCAGTCGCTCCTCCGCGAGCCTCCGCTCCTCGTCCGCGGAAGCGGCAGCGATCGGGGGGTCCTGTCCGGCGTCGACCTGCGTCAGAATCTGCGCGGATTTGTCCAGCATCCTGTCGACCTCGTCGTTCAGCTTCTCGATCACCTACGCCAGGGGTGCGTTGCCCACGGCGTCCAGGAAGACCGCCTGTAGGTTTGCATGCACCCCTGGGTTCGCGCCATGTTCACGCTTCAGCTGGGCCCTCTTCTTTCGTCATTTGCCGCTGTCGACCTGAACGAGATCTGACCCTGTCCCTCTTGGTGTCGCCAGGGCGGTGCAGCGTTTTCGGCCAAACCGGCCCCTACCACTCTGTCCTTTTCGCTTCCAGCCTGTCCTTGAGGAGCTTCCCAGCGTGAGGACCAGCGCCGCCGCGGGGTCTGTGCAGCGCGCCCAGGGTTGCCGCGGGACAGCAGTGGACGATGGGAGCACCAGGGAGAGGAGGGAGGATGGTGGCCAGGGGAGAGCAGGTGAAGTCGGCCAAGGCAAGCACAGGCAAGTAAGGGGTTTCAGGTGTTTCCCTTTGCTGTTGTGCCTTTGTTCTACTCGTCTGCCTCCGAAGCGACCCGCGCGCCTTGGAATTCCTGATCTGACAAATGCTATTCCTCTTTCTTCCGCTAGAAGCCGTGAAGCGCAGGGCCGATCAGCCGATGCACCTTGCCCAGCCCGCGCGCCCGAGGTTGGTCCTCCTTCAAGAAGGCCTATCCTGCAGGTTTTTCGCACCGATCCGCCGGCACCCCCAGTGCAGATCTGCGACGATGTCTGGTATGCCCAGCGCAGCGGTACTTCAGGCCGCCCGAACGGGGTCGGAGGAGGTGGGTTTGGAGGATCGCCTTGCGTCGCCGACGCATCGGCGATGTGGCGCTGCGCGATTAAGAGCTTAGTGATCTCCCGACGTCGTCGATACATCAGTGGTGCAGTGCGATCCTCCGATCTCGCTTGCTCCGATCGCATCTGGGCGGCCTCCAGGTACGGAGGAGGAGGAGGGGGAGCTGGTGGGGGATGGGGAGGCTCTCGGCGGCTTTCGGAGGTGCGAGGCGGCTCTCCGAGCGCTTCTTGGAGGTTCCCAAAGGGGTATGGGAGAGGGCGAGGAAGGAAAGGTATGAAGAGGGAACGGAAGGAGGGAGGGGCAAGCTGGGTGCGTGTTCCGAGAGGTCAGTCGTGGCACGCGTCCGGCGCGACCCCAAGTACGTAGGTGTTAGACATTTTGTGTTCAAAACGTAAAGAAGGCAGGCTGAAGGGTAGGCGAGCCGTCACGCCG